ACATTCAGAAAAATAGTGACACAAACAAAAATCGGCAAGAACTTTTTTGTACCTAATATTTTCTCCACCTCCTGAGACGTACAAAGGTCTGTACTCCGAATTCTACCTATGGAGTATTACTTGCTACACGTATTGCTAATGCTTATTTGTGTAGCGATTGTTATTTTGGGATGACTTCTCACCGTCACCTAGTTTAACGTCGTCTTCGGAGTCGCGACCCCTGAGTAGTCGAGATATTGCGGACACACTCGGAGCGCTGGTCCGTTCGCAGATGCCCTCTTTGATCAGTCGATCTCTTATTTCCCATGAGAACATACCCGGGTTGTCACGTTTGTACTCTTCAATTCTCGCCTCCACCTCCGGCGTGGCCACACGTGGTTTGCTGCCGCCGATGACTCCAGGCCTGATACTACCAGTTTCTTGATAGCGATTTAGGATCTTCGAAACGCACCCATGGGACACCCTTAATTGTCTATTCTCAGTGAGACGCGATAATAGACGAATCAGTTCATGTATGGTTTATAAAACAAAAATTTACACAGAAAAATTTTGCTGAAGTATTTAAAAATTTAATTAGATGCAGATTTGAAAATAATGTTATTGGTCCAAATAATTATATTGGAATAATTATAATTATATAGAATGAAATGATTATACGGAAATAATTATAATTATATAGAATATAAAAAATCTAAGTATGATAAGCTGAATACTGCAAAAAAGCTTTAACGTTAGCAATCAGCTTGAATGTTTTTTATTTTGATTAGCTTATTTTTAGATTCATATTTAGTTAAATTTTTTAATACTTCAGTAAAACTGTTCTTTCAATGTATATATTTCTATTTTAAAAAGTTATCGTGGAATTATCCAAAAGACTTCTTAAATTGATACCTTGATATAACGCACGGTCTGACCCCAGCAGCAGCCATTTCAACTATCTTCAATCTGATGTGATTAGGCAGCGGTCGTCCGTTGATGAAGATACCACCAAGCTGATTTACACGGCCCTGACCCGGTATTGAACCTATGTCTGCAACAAGCGGTACACTTCCTCCTTTCATCGCTTCCATAACTGAAATCCCAAGTAGACGTTACGAATGACATCAAATGTTAATAAGGGTCACAATCCCTTTTTGAAATTATCTTTTTCTATTATTCTGCTTGTTTTTATAAAGTTACTAAATTGAGAAATGTACTTTGATTTTCTGATATTTATCAGAAATTAAGACATAGAAAAGAAAGAAGAAGAGAGAGAGAGAGAGAGATAGTTGACGAAGTGGTGGAACAGTTATTGAACAGTGTATAAAGAGAGCAGTCTGGATTTATCGTTGCACCACATGCTTGATTTAATTTTTTTTCTCTTTTTTTCTCGAAGCAGGAGAAAGAGAAAAAAAGAGAGCGAGGGAGAGAGGGAGGGAAAGAGAGAGAGAGAGAGAGAAGAAGAAGAAGAGAGAAGAAGAGAGAGTTATAAGCGCGGGCGGCTGCAACGTATAATGAACAACGTCGTAACTATCGATAAGTCCAATAAATCCCGGTGCGGTTTTACGACACACAACAATGATAGCGTATAATTTGCTTGGCTTATTTAATTTCGCGTTACGCGACGACGCTCTGATATATAAAGAAAGGAATACGCACGGTCCAGGAAAGAGTCGTTGCTGGTAATTTTAACTGGACAGGTTTCAGAACACATTTTTTAAAGCGAATTTTAAAAGTGAATTAAGTAATTCCTCGTGGTATATCCTCGTTACTTTTGATCTTCAATATTTTCAAGAATCTCTTTTGAAGAGACGAAATTACAATTGAAAGAAAAGGCAGTAATAACGAAACGAATGAGTTGTGTAATTAGACGGGCAAAAAGGAAATACGCAATCATACGTTTAATATTAAAGAAAAACGCGCTTGCTTATACAAGACGCGGTAATCAACGAAAAAGCGGAATCTCAATGACAGCACAACGAAAAATCGGATCGTCCAGGCGAGACGGTGATCGAAGCGTTTTGTTTCGTTAAAGGCGGTACTTATTATAGTTACAACACGTTATGTATATTGTTAATGTAATCGACATGTTAGCTATCGATCTTATTCATTCCAATTGGATTTGAATCGATGTTCTGAGAGAGCGCACTGCGAAACGGAACGTCCTTGATTCTTTCGATTGCGCCAAATGGCTTATATCGATATATAATATATAAAACTTAACACAAATAATTTATTATAAATTTTGATTTTTAATTATTTATAATGTGGTACTTTCAAAAATATAATTTGATATTTAATTTTTAAGCAACATTAAAAAAGAAGAGTTTTCGTAAGAAGATTAGACGAGTATAATGAATCATGAGAATTGAAAGAAACGTACTTCTTTTTAGGATTTTCTTAAAATTGACAATAATACAAATGCAAATTATTTTAATACTCATCGATACGCTAAGTATTTTGTTGTGCCCGCGTTGTGGCTGTGCCACTCGATACATTGTCCTTGCGTCATTATTTCCTCAAGTTCGCAGGCGCTCGTATGAAGATAAAGATGCAGCGCGCGTCGGTTGTTCCCCGTGCCTAGATTTGGAATCGACAGGACGAGAGTTTCTTTTTGTTACGTTCTGAGCTTTATTATTGTACTAACAATTCTGTCATTAAAATTCTGGTTTATAAATATGCATATTGTTATTTCACGCGAGTGCAATGAGAGCGCGATTCACGTCGACGGAACGTCGTCGTGAGAACGCAAACGCGCGCGGGCGTACAATATTATCTATACTTGTGTCAAAATGCGCGTATTGATGCAGATTCAATTAATTCTACGGTTTTGGAATCGTATTGATTGAAGTTATTAATTGTTTAGAGAGTTCACGGTGAGAAGGAAGCGGATGATTAACCTCGTCGCTTTCACTTTTCTAATCCGGGTGCAAAGTGTCGTTTATAAATAAATTGTATAAAGAAAAATGCATTAATCGTTTTTTTTTTCATCCTGGTCGCGATAAGTAAGTACATTATTGCACTTTCACAACCGCGGCTCGGTAAAAGATATGGAAATGATGGCACCATCGTTATCGCCGTCACTATTATTGTCGAGAGACGGGAAATGCAATAGGGTACGGTCACACGCTTTCGTTTGTAATTAAACATTTTCCGCGTAAAACACTTTGTCGCACAGGACAAAGAGTAAAGCAAGCTTCGACTAACGTAAAAAGCATCCGCAGAAAAAGGAAACCGCTATCCGATTGCACAGAATGCTTGCATAATCGTAGCCATGCATCGCTGCGGGTGCAATCGACGCTCGAATAAACCGCACCAATAGCGATTGCACTCCTGCGTGAAGTGACTTCCGATATAATTAATCGTTTAATTAACAAATCGAGACTATTCGAAGATTCCTTCAACTCAAAATGTTTAACATCTTCCAAGCGATTCCAATTTTAATTTGAAATGCACTTTCAAGAACGAGGAAAAGCACCTCCATCCAACTACTCAGAAAACCATGTGGCGCGTCTCATAAATCATTATAATGACGGAATCACAAGGCAAAAAAAGAATTCTGCGCACCGCGATGAAGTAATTAATGACCATCATTGAAAACTTCTATGCGCAGATTTTACGGAAGCGCATTCGTTGAGTTGAGCGCTAATCGTCCACCATCATTTACCGCCGCGATTTCCGCGAGCACACACTTTCGCGTCTCGTTTCCAGCTGGTAAATCATCAAGCGACTAATTACACGTGCTAATTACACTCGGGATGCCGCACGTCTGGATACTCGACGAAGCGCGTTATTTAATTTTACAGACCTTGTTATTAAACGTATCATCTTCAGAACAGATTTAGCTATGAGTTTTTCCGTCCGTGACAGAATGACACATCCTTAGGACATTTTTTTCTTTATCCTTACACATTTTTCTCTATTCTATAGAGTAAAATGCATGGGTAAGTTATGTTCGAAAGCTGGACAATAGCACGCTCAAATTTATGACATAATAAATGACAATTTGAACAAAGTCCAAATACATACACAGAACGAAATCATTTTAAAAAAAATTTCTCCGGAACGGAATAGATACTTTTATGTTTCTAAGGCAACAATGATTGAATTACAAAAATTTTGTAAAATATACTGAATGTAATTTATTTATTATTATTGCTAGCAATGTTCCTTAAAAATAATAATAAATAAATTTTAAATATTTTTCTGCATTTTTATAATAACTAGAAATTATATGCTTGTACCGGTCAAAACTGGATCTTTAATGTTTAAATAATTCAATGTGAATTATATGTATACTATATGTGTGTACGCATATATACCATATTTGTAATCATTCGAACTGCGCATTGAATTAGTTTTCCAGATTTATAAGCGCAATTAAACTACTGTAATAATATCACAAAATAAATTAAATTGACAAGCAATTATTTTTTTTAATTTGATACTCAATGAAGTATTATATTAGAAAGATTAATATGCTGAAAAACTGAAATTAAATTTATTGTGAAAAATATTCGGTCGAAAGTCGAACTCGAATCTTTTGTATTATATATATATTTTATATTATTACATAGTATATATATAAATGTATATATAGTATATATATAATTTACATTAAATTATTTAAGTATTAAAGATCCAGCTTTGATCAGTATAGACATTTAATTTCTAATTTGTATTGGTAGTGTTCTCATGTACGGTCTAAAATATAAAATTATTTTTCATAATGAAGTTCCGAGAAGAATCGAATGTACATGATAGGGCGCTAAAGAATTGATAAGGATAAATAACCTAGCAAAGATAAATAATCACGACAAATGAGCACACACATAAGCAAATAAATATGTATGTATTGTAAATGTATATATTTAAAAAATAGAACAAGAGAGAAAGAGGTGGAGAGAACTGTGATAGAAATCAGCTGCAGTAATTTAAATTAATTACAAAAAATATATTTTAAAGGATGGTTTTGCATTTACTTAGGTCTTTTTTCGATAAATTATATAGAAATTCTGTCTAAAATTATATAAAATCCAGCAATGATTTATTCTAGACATTTTTATCTCAATAAAATTTCTTATTCCTTAAAATGCCATAGAATAAAAGAAAGATAGATGCTATACAATTAAAACGTCAATAGGCCAACAATGGTAAAGAAAAAGGCTTTGTAGCGCTAGGAAACGCTCCATAATTTACGACCTACTCAACTCTGTTCTATTCATTTTAGGGCAATTGTCAATATCAGGCAAATCTTTTGAAGAAAATTGATGTTAACATTTTATTCTTAAATAAAACTTGTTTAAGTTACATTTCAAATCTGCTATAAGAATTGGTTTAATCAGTCAATTCTAGTTAATATATTAATTTTACTTTTATAATATAAATTTTGTTAAAAATAAATAATCAATAAGTTTTTGTTCAATTTTTAATAATATTATATTATTAATAATTGTCATTTTTACGTTTTTTAATCTTAGATTACTCCATTTAATATTTTCTAGATATTTATATAGAATTTTATCAAACTTAAGATTATGAAGATACAATTCTGCAAAATAAAAGCAGGTTATAAAAATAAATATTTTTATTGTTAAAATATTTATTTTTATATACTTTCATTAATTACACGACGATGACTATATACTATTTAAGAAGTATTGAATAGTATAAATGAAAAAAAATGTGGATCTGCCTAGATCGTTGGTAACTAAAACTGTTGGAAACTAAATTATTTGTTCCAAACTCTACGATTTTTCAACATAAATATTGATTCAATACATTTAATCAACTGCAACATACCTTGAAAGGAATATCCAGTGAAACATGGTCGCATCATCGAGAAATTAGTCGTAACCGTCATTTCAACCGAACCACTGCAAAATAGTTCCGACAAATTCGCTCCGACACCGAATGTTGTAAATCTCGTTATTGCACTTCATTAAGTTCTTTGTAAAAAAACGATATCGTAATTGTTCTCTCTTCCGATAAAAGTCACAAATGTTTCGTTTTATTCCTAGTTGTAATTCACTCGACGATTGTAAAACGGGATACATAGACAAACACTAAACATACATTTGTAGAAACAGATAATGTTCTTGCTCTCGTTCGGATCCACTAAATCCATGGATGACGTTTTGCTCATAGTCCAGGCCCGTCAGGCCCAACCGCGAGCATATCTTCTTTTTCTTCAATCCGCGATCTGAATGGCTACAATCACTTCGTCTATCCACACTGGAAACGGACGTCGACTGATCGACGCGCTGATTCTAACTAAGACTCTCGGGGATGGGATATCAGGGTAAGGCCAGACACTCCCACCAACTGCAGTACAGATAGTTCTCCTTGTGCTGTGGGGCATCAGCGGGATATATTGTTGAGAGTTGGACTTCGATGGAACAGTAAGACAGACCCACGGTCGTTAGCCTTTGGTCCCTATCGTCGCCAGCGACCAATCGCGGCACTGCGAGGCCTTTCGCCACGCCTTTAATTCACGCCCAAATGGTACGAGACGATGAGCTTCTTGAGTGACTTTATTGCCGTACTTTTACGAGCGTGCGCCATGCTTATACACTGTTGCTCGTTGTTTCTTGAGGAGCATAAACTAAGTGGGACAAATCCTCTCTTTCGTTCTCTTGCAATCATTTTCGTTTGTCATTTATTCAATCACAACTCAAAAATAATTTTTAAAGAATTTTTTGTCAAAAGAGACCGGAAATAAAATTCTTTTGTCACTAGAAAGGAATTCAAGTTCAATGTCAAAAGAAGTGTCTGGAAATAGCTTCCAAATTCTAAATAAAACCAGATGATAATGGAGCTTAATATCATAAATCTTCTATTTGTATATATATAAACACGTTAAACATATATTTAAAATTCAATAATTAAATATAATATATTGAATTTTTTAGAACTGCAAGATAAATGCTATAGTGACGAAAAATTTCTTTTCTCTTGCAAAATAATCACAGTTGGGAAATTTGTATTAAATTTAACATTTTATATATTTTAAACGATACATTTAAAAAGGATGTGTAAAAATGGCCAAAATTGGCCCTGAATGGACACCTTTAAAACTTATGTAATTGTTATTTTAGAAGTTCATATTCATGAAAAAAATGCTTATTTATCCAGGAAAGCTGGAGAAATCTTTCAAAAATAATAAAATAAATCGTTTAAACGCTCT